AACTAACTCACCCATGACCTAAAACTTGTCACGATTATCCACACCTTGAAGAGTTGGAGTCATTCCTTATATGAGAAGACTTTTTAGATCTATACTGACCATAAGAGTTTGAAACACATATTCACTCAAAATAATCTCAACATGCGTCAGAGAACTCCTCAAGGACTACGATTGCAACATCTTGTATCACCCGGGCAATGGTAACATGGTAGCTGATGTACTCAGCAGAAAAAGTACAGATATATTAGCTCACCTAATGGTTTCAGAATGCAATGTAATAGAGGCCGCACAAAAGGTACGACTTCAGGACCTGAAGAGACTAACATGCTTAGCCCACCTGACTATTCAACCTGAGTTGATCTAGAGAATAAATGAAGCTCAATCCGCCGATTTCACCATAACAGCCATCAGGAAATGTGCAGAATAGCGAGTAAATTCAGAATTTTGAGTCTCTGCCAATAGGTTGCTCAGATTTCAAGATAAAGTGTGTGTTCCATGTGACAGTGAACTGAAAAGAGACATCATGACAGAGACTCATAGCTCAAAGTTTGTCATGCATCCCAGAAGCACTAAGATGTATCAAAGTATACGACTCCGATTTTGGCGGAACGGGATGAAAAGAGAGGTGGTCGACTTTGTTTTCAAGTGTCTAGCGTGTCAGCAAGTCAATGCAGAACATCAACGCCCAAGCAGACTACTTCAACCATTACCGATTCTATAGTAAAAGTGGGAACAAATTACAATTGGTTTCGTAACAGGATTGCTTAGGGCACGCTCAGAACATGATGTCATTTGAGTAATTGTTGACCGGCTCACCAAGTCTTCCCATTTCTTGGCAATTAAGATGACCGACCTCTTGAACAAGCTTGCAAGAATATACATCCGGGAGATAGTTAGCTTACATGGAGTGCCAGTCATAATAGTTAGGTTACATAGCGATCCATCTCGAGTCGGTTGTTTTCGACCGTTTTTGCATCGATTTCCGCGAAAAAACATGTTAAGGGACCTCGGTTGGGTGAAAAAATACAAAAAACCAAAACTCACAAGCAGTGGGGCTCTCCGGTGCGATGGCTCCCCCGACTCACGTTGGGGTTGACTATTTTGCTCTGGTCAACCTGTAAAGAAGAAAATGGTGATCACAATGGTAGAAAAATTATACTTAACGGGAATCGGGAATGGCCTCATCGGAGGCATTTTAAAAATTTATCGTAGCGCCGCCACCGGGCTTTACGCGTGATTTTCGGTCAATCAATCGGTCTTTTTACTTCGATTTAGCTGTAGGGGTGTTTAAAATTGAATTTCGAGCAAAATTTTTTTTTTTACCTCCTTTGGCAGTCAGAAAGGGCTCCGGTGTGGCGGCGGGTGGCAGCGGCTCTACTTCCCGGCGGCTGGGTCTTATTCTCCGGCGAGGGCGTCCGGCGGCTAGGGTTAGGGTTTGGTGTGAAGAAGATTATTTATTTCCGTCCCTATTTAATCTGGGCCATCTATCGCATTTGATCTGAACCGTTCGATCGCGATTAAATAGGAAGTAAATCTAGACCGTTCAATACAATATAATCAGGAACGTTTATCGCGATCTAATCTGAACTATCTGATCACATTTAAATCTGGCCATCTGATCGCTTTTGGGGAGGGAACGTATCCAGGCCGTCCGTGCGCAGGAACGAATCTGGACCGTTTGATCGCGGGCACGCGGATCGCCCGCGTGGCACCGTGTCAGCGTCCGTTGCCACACAGCGCGTGCTAATTCGTCAGGGCTGCTGAGCGAGCATCCTACATGGAAAAATTTTTCTAAATTATATTTTGACTACCGGTTTCCGATTTTCTTTCATAAATACCCATAGAACCCAAATTTTCATCTTTTTTTTTTCCAAAATTGTTTTTAGTTTCATCCTCCATCACATTTCCGTCATTTTTACACTAAATTAAAATTAAAAAATTAAAATATTATATTTATAATTAATTTAATTTATAATTAAATTAATTTGGGCATTATAGTAGGTTTGACAAGAGGGGGCAATTAAATCCCTGATTTATTGGGTCGTTTTAGATCTTATACAGAATTGGTACGACCACCTACAGACTTACACTACCTCTAAAACTATCTAGAGTTCATAATGTGTTTCATGTGTCCATGTTACGCAAGTACAACTCAAACCCCTCACACATCTTATCCCACGAACCCCTTCACTCTAGGAGGATCTATCCTATGATGAGGTACTAGTGGATATTGTAGATTGAAAAAGTACAGGACTTCACAACAAAAAAATTTCATTCACCAAGATCCTATGATAAAATCACACACAGAAAGAGGCCACATGGGAGCTAGAATTGGACTTCAGAGTCTAGTATCCTCAACTGTTTGATTAAATGAGAGAGTGACAAATTTGAGGGACCAAATTTCTTCTTAACGGGGGAGAGTTGTAATACCCGGACCCAAAATTTGGTTCGAGATCAATTTTGGTATTTTAAAAATAAATAAAAATTAATTATTAATTACTTTTATTTAATTTTATTTAATTTTATTAAATTATATAAAAAATAGATAAGGGTGTAATTGAAAACAATTTTAGAAAAAAAAAAGGTGAAAATTTGAATTCAGATGGTATTTTTGAAAGAAAAATTAGAAACTAGTGGAGTCAAAATGTAAATAGAGAAAGTTCAACCACATAGAACTGCCAAGTCAGCAGGCCTGACGAACCAGAGCGCGTCGCGTGGTAAGGTACACTGATGTCGGTGCCACGCAGACAATTCGCGTGCCCCGCAATCGGACAGTGCATGATCGATCCAGATTCGTTTTCTTCTTAAGCACGATCACACAATTGAGATCAATCGGGATAGATGGCCCAAATTCATTTTTTCCTTAAGCGCAATCAGGACAGAAGAGATCAATTGCGATAGACGATCCAAATCAATTCGGGATGGGTATAAATACTCTGCGTCGCATGGAAACTCAAACCTTAGCTGCCAGCCCCCATAAGAGAATAAGAACCAGGCACAAGAGAAGAAATCGACCACCTACCGCCAGAAAAGTAAAAAATTTTCTTATCCATTCGAAATTTGAATCTGAGCACTCATGTGGCTAAATTGGAGCAAGAGGGACAACGGGTGAGTAAAAAATATTCGGGGTATTTAGACATCGATTTTAGATTTTTTGGATATTTTTAGGTTTGAATTCCGTAGAAAAAATTCAAGGAACTCATTACCTATTAAGAGGCATGGTAGATAGCGCGACGTCTCGAAATACCGATCTGGGTAAGGATCTCTCACCTTATTCTCTGTTATGGTAAATTGATGCTTAACAATGTATAATTTCGTATTTTTATAAAAAATTATAAAATCTTAAAATTAATTATAAGTTACTAGTGAAGGCAGAACCGGTTAGTTCACAATTATTTTAATTTTCTGTTTATTTTCCTATACTATCTTGTTTGCTTTATTTTCTGTGATACATGTTCTTAATTTATAGTTTCAATGGTTTTATTGATTTATCTGGTTATTTTGGTTATATATCGTCGACATGAATGTAATTTAATTGATCTGTAAATGAAATATGAGATATTGATATATATATTTATTGGTTATTTTGTTGATGATAATATTTTTGTAAAAGACTTACTGGGTACCCAGGAAAAGGGCGGACGGGTCCGGTACAAAAAGAACCTTACTATGAACATTATCTCAGTCGGACAAGACTGGGAAGTCCCTTATCATAAAGGTTTTGGATATATGGTTTACCCTCATACCGGACGGGGTATCGAGGCGATAGAGTATTTGACACCTATTACCATACGGGGTGTAAAGATGACCGATTAATCATAAAATTGGATATTGGGTTTATGAGTAGGGGGAGAAATCCCTATGGACCCTCAAGGGTACCAGTAAGTAGGTAATAATATAAAATTATTATCTTTTGTTCTCTTATGCGTGAAGGTAAAAAGTGATATGAATATGAGTGTTCATATGTTGTTTTTGAAAAACTTATTACGGTAAGTATCAAACAAGCTTTTTCAAGTTTAAAAGTATTTAAATAAAGCAATGAATTCATTAGGATTTTTTCTGATTTTTATCAATCTTCAGTTTTTTGTATATGCGATTATTATGATATTCTTACTGTGCTAGTGTATCTCACTATTTCGTTAACCATTTTAGATCAAACTAAAATCTAGATCCCGATCAGCAAAAGGGTTTGTGAGTAGTTCACTACCCAAACTCCCTTCAAGTGCTAGTAAAAGTTGTCATATGGTACTTTAATATTCGCTATTTTTTTCATTTATTTAATTATCGTTTGTTTTGTATAATAAGTATTCCCATAATCATATTGGATATTATAAATTATTGTGTAATGAATATAAACCCTAATTTTATTAATTGCTTCCGTATTTAATTTTATGAATTCATTTTTCTTAAAATTCTGAATTTTTACATTATAAAAATTAACTATTGAAATAAATAAAAAAATTAATTATTATAAATAAATAAAACTTAATATTGTTCGGTTGACATAATTATTAATCAATATTTAGCTCAATTGTAACTAGATAAATAATCAAGAAAAACATTATTAAATAACAAAAAATTTATTATTAAAAATGAACAAAATAAGATCGGCATAATTGAGTAATTTATCATTTCATTTACCGTCATTATATATTTATTTGAGCTATTATTTATATAATTTTTTAAATTTTTAATTTTTAAATTTTAATGTTATTATTTAAAATTTTAGAAAATATAAATATGTTATAAATAAGTTTAGTAAGATAAAGCCATACATTTCCTCAAAATTTTTTGATTGTCACAAACTGCTTAATTTTTTTTTTTTTTGTTAAAAAAAGAAACGAAAAAAACATAAAAAAAAAAACAAGAAAGTGAAAACAAGAAAGAGAAGCCGACAATAAAATACAAACATCTCAACCGGGCCCCGATTCGTACCGGCCCAGGCCCATATATCGAAACACCTTCTTCGCCTAAAAGCCGGTCTAATCCTTTCGCGGACCTGCAACGGGCAAATCAGACCCGATCGCAGCAATTCGGGTTGGTGGCACCTACTGGTCAGAGACGGAGCCTGTCAGTCAGTCTTCTTCGCGTCGACGCACAGCCAATATGCAGAATTAAAGCAATAATCGGTAAATATAGGAAAGCTCTCACTGTCTCAATTTTCAACAAATGAAACTCGAAGAAAATCTCGCATCGTAACAGTTTTTCCCAAATTGTAAAAGTCTAATGTCTTTTGTTTCCGCCTCTTCCTCTTCGGCCTCCGTGGATGGTCTCACTGAGCATAATCCGAAGCCTGTTGGCGATCAATTGGCTTCTATGGTATTGGCCGCGAGTGATACCGTCAGCGACCATGGGGAGGACGAGGCCGATAGTGGATTATCAGGGAATCAAGAGGTGGCTAATGGATTGGTGAACAGAGACGTCAACGGCGAGAGGATGGAGAATTCGAGAGATCAGGTAGTTGAGAGTAGCAGCGGAGGAGGAGGTGTGCTGTGGAGAAGGACGAATTCGGAGTTGGAAGTGGAGGAGGAGGGTCCGTCTAGCCCCAGCAGCAGCGGTTATGCCGGAGAAAGAGGGAGTAGCAGCGCTACCAGTGCCTCCAGGATTGACGAGGCCAGTGAGGATGAGATACAGGAAGTAGCGACCGCTGAGGATTCGCAGCAGGTACCTGCTTGGATGCCGGGAAAACGCCATATCGATGAGGTGAGTTCGGTGCAGATGTTTCATTCTCGTTTTTAGATTTAGTGTTTCAAAGTTCTTATTGGTCTGAATTATGGGTACTGAAAGCTTTTAGGGGCTAGGACAATCACTTGGTAATGGGAAATGGGAAAGTGGTGCCATGTATTCTCTTATTAGTCCGGATAAAGTAACCTTACATTTGGGAATGAGAGTTTCCCATATATTTTTATGAGTGACAATTTTGTTTGAGGAAGTGGAGATTGGAGAGCTTGATGGTTATAGATTATCACTGGCTATGGAGATTGAAAAAATCTATGATGTTAACTCTTTTTGGCATTAACCTGAGCTTGTAATTAAGGCACCATTTTTATGTAGCCGAAGTTGAGTGCATAACCGAGTTTCTCATCATTATTGCTCATCAATTTAATTTTACTGTCTGGTGATTGATAAGTAAAAAAAATAATGAGATGGCCTCTTGCCTGATTATCTGTTTGAACCCCGGTGGCAATGAGTATGAAGTTATAGGTTACTGAGAAAGTTAAAATTGAATTTTGTAGCATAACTTTCCAACAGTCCTTATTGAGTTCTCATTTCTGTGTGGTGGATTGTCTTGAATTTCTGAAAGAAAATGTATTAGAAGTAGGTAGTTAAAATAAAAAATATGTTGGTTAAATAAATGCTGAAGATTCAAGACATTAATGGACTGAGCTACCAGCAAAAAGCTAAGGCTAAAGAGCGAGCGAGTCTTTTCTTCTTTTTATGGATCAATAGAAACACGAAATCCCTCTTTTTTGATTAAAAAAAATGGATGAACTTTTGATATAAGCTTATTTGAATATGAGAAAAAATTTAATACGAGAACTTGTAAACGAATGGGGACACAATGTGATGCTAATTTATAGCTTGCACTAAAGGTATAGTGGAAGGGAATTGTCTCTAAATAGAAGATACAAAATGAACTAGTTACTTGAAAATGGAGGGGTGAGAGTCTTAACATAGAATAATCTATACTTAGCTGGAGTCCTCAACTAAATATTTTGTGTTCCTTTATGTGCGATTATGATTCATATCGCCGTTCATTTTTGGATGGTTTAACTGAAATTTGTTTTTGTTGAGCATTGAATGATAGTCAAATGCATCAAAACAGGTTAAGGAAATAATGAATTAAGAAACATAGTGGAAAAAATATGACCCAGCTTAATTTGTTCGCCTGAGTTTTTTATTTTAGGCCGTTGAATTTATTTAACACGGTCAATATCGATGACCCTTAATGACTAGAATTTTTTGTTGGAAGACTTTTCTAATTTAGCTTGCTATGAGTAGACACTTTGTTGAGGATATATTTAGTATAATATCCTTTTTTATTTGTAAATGAAGTGCAGGATGATGCTTCTATATCATGGAGAAAAAGGAAGAAGCATTTCTTTATTCTGAGTCACTCTGGCAAGCCAATATACTCTAGGTCTATCTCTTCTGCCGCAGCATCACAAACAGCACAATTTTGTTTGGTCTATCCATTATATTTATACATCTATATTTTCTCTTACTGTCTTCTAGATATGGAGACGAGCACAAGCTAGCGGGATTTTCAGCAACTCTGCAGGCCATTATTTCCTTTGTGGAGAATGGGTATATTACTCTAGATTTGTTTATTTGCATAGATCGAATCTTGTGTTTAATACCTATTCTTATTCTTCCTTAATAACATCTCAGGGGAGACAGGGTGAAATTGGTTAGGGCAGGAAAGCACCAGGTACATTTATTTTATTTTCCTTGTACATCTGGAACAATTGTTCTTTGAGTTTCATTAGCTTAGACCATAGTGGTGGTGGAGTTTTTTTGAACCAACCAATAAAGAGTAACACAGATCAGAGGAGATTTGGGTTGAGGATTTAGAAAATTAGGAAGGAGTTTAGAGGAAAAGGGAAGTAAGACAAAGATAATAAGATGGAGAAAGAGGAATGACAGCTAGGTAAGATAGAACAAAGGAAGAGAAGTAGAAATCAAAAGAAGGAGCTTAAGAATTGAGTGATAATAGTGCTGAAAAAAAAAATCAGTTTCAACATACACTAATCTCTTCATTAACAACCTCAATCCAACAAAATAAGAGAAATCGAAATAATAAGGGAAATATCCAACGTTTTAAAAGTAAACACATCTCTCATGAAGTATTAAAAATCAACTTTCCTTATTTAACTAAGATTCCTATGGTTTTGAATCTTAGTGCTTCTACATCACATAGTGCATACTCATATCTCTTTTAGCTGGAGGAATGCAATCCCTAGATGAGGATGCATGTGCGAAGTTTAAGTCTAAATAATCAATTTTCTTATTTTGTTTTTAGCTTAATAAGCTTTATGTTATGGTCTCTCCTGACAGTTCGTTATGGGATGATGAATAATGAAATCAGTAGGCAAACAATTATTCTATTTCTTGCCTTACTTATTTTAGATTTAAGTTTGAGGGAGATAACTCTACAATCTCTGGAGAAAGAAAGCACTTTTCTTAAAATAGATCTTCGTCCATGCTGTCTTTAACCACAGCCATGTCTTAAATTCATAAGGGAAGTAAGCAATTAATTCTGGAAATAAAATTCCAGAACTGCCTAGACTGTCCTTGTCATTGCAAGACTTATTTCTTGCTTAGATTGCCTCCTATGCTGCACGCACATACAATACATACTTTTATCATTACAAATTACACAATTATGTAATCATTACACATACTAAATTCCCACATAACTGTTTCACAGATTTTTTATTTTCATATCTTCTCGGATACACCTCAAAAGAAACTATTTTGTTCCTAACACTTTGCATGGCATTTTCGTACATCAGGTAGTCTTTCTTGTGAAAGGACCAATTTACTTAGTTTGCATCAGCTGCACAGAGGAGCCTTATGATTCATTAAGGGGGCAATTGGAGCTTATATATGGTCAGGTAGCATGCTAGAGCCTTCACTTCTGCTCTTCAATCATTTCCATGATAATATGTTTAATTACTGGTGCATATCCTCTGCAAAATTCTTCTAGTAGGTGCTGTTGTATCACATTTTATTGATCATAGTAATCATGGTATGGATGCAGATGATACTTATTCTAACAAAGTCCATAAATAGATGTTTTGAGAAGAATCCGAAGTTTGACATGACGTCTTTGCTTGGAGGAACAGATGTTGTATTCTCTTCTCTCATCCATTCATTTAGTTGGTTTGTTTCTGTCCTTAACTTTGGAGTTCCTGATTTCTTTTGAACTGTTTCTTTTGTTGGAGTTGGAAAAGTAGAAATTCATCTCTGCTTTGAGTTGTGGAGTGTTATAGAAAGTGAACTCTGGCTATGTTTGCCCAAAAAATTGAACCTGAACCCGTCCTATTGGGAGAATAAAATTTGACCACTAACCAAATGCCTTGGTCAAATAGTGGGTCTACTTGTTCTCATATTCTTGAGCTTTTTTCTCTTCTTACTGGGTAAAAAGTGAATTGTAGTGGAACCATGCTAGAATTTTTTTTTGGGAAAAAATGGCTTCTTTTTTCTCAAGTGCAATTTTGGGGTTAATGGTATTCCAGAAAGTTCACATGAAGCTCCTAACATGCAGATTAAGAACAGTTTTATTTCACGTGGTTATTTAGAGAATTCCTATAGAACCTGAAACCATTTGTTATATCTGTACTTAAACTTCCAATTTATATATTAGCTGAATACACTTAGAAAAAATCTTTTTGAATTTAACCCATTTGGTTAAAGTGGATAGGCTGGCTTTCATATTGAATGAATCAATTATGACTTCTGTTTAGTCTGTGCCAATGAAGACTGCTCTTGCGGGTTGCAGGAAGCAACCTGGTTTACTTAATGCTCCTTTTTGTGTACAAATTGTGGGAGCATGCTTAGTTATTCTCTTTCTCAAAAAATTAATTTAAACTGGAGTGTAAAATGCCCTTAAATTTATGTGGGATAGAACCTTATAAGATTCCACACTTATTTCTTTATATAGGAATCCTGCCACATTTCTTCATGCATACACTTGCCTTCCTCTTGGCTATGCTACAAGGCAGGCTGCGGGTGCTATATTGCAAGATGTTGCTGATTCAGGTGTCTTATTTGCAATATTAATGTGCAAACACAAGGTGCAGCTCCATTCTGAACTTCTAATCTATAAATTATTTGTTAGCAACGATAACGATAGTGTTCTATAGTCATCCAACATGGGTTCACAATTGTTCATTTTTTATAAATAATTTTTCTTAGATGCAATCACTGTTCTAATGTTACTCCTCATCTTTTAGCTCTCCCTCTCTCCCCCTTTCATGTTCTCCCTGGGCCTATTGCTAGCCAACGTAATCCATAGCCACAGTTTTGCTCTTTTTTTAATAAGTTCAAGCTTGATTGCAGGTGGTCAGTCTTGTAGGTGCACAAAAAGCATCCCTTCATCCTGATGATATGCTGTTACTTGCCAACTTTGTTATGTCATCGGAATCATTTAGGCAAGTAGAATTGAATATGACAAGTAGTTCATTTTAGGTTTATCAACCTGGTTTGGATATGATGAAGGTGCAACGTTTAACATGACTTATTTAAAATCTCTTTATAAGCTTCAAAACAGAAGCTACAAGAATGACCTGGTTTTCAGTGTCCATTAAATATTTGCTTTTTGTCTTTCATTTTTTGTTTGTGCTTATTTTCGATTCTCCTCCACCTTGTTGTAACATTACTGTAGATATAGGTGTTGAATCAATGTTAAATTAAGTTCAAGCATAGAATTTTTTACATTCCACTAGCAGTAGCACTTGATTTGATAACGGAAATGCATTTGTTTTATCACCTTTATTATATTTCTTACTAAGTTTTGCGGTTTAACATCTGTATTTTACACGCTTAATTCAGGATTTTGATAATTAAGTGTGTCCTGGACTCCTAGAGTTCACAGCTAGTTCTGTTGAAGTTCTTCTTATGGTTGATCTGCATGATTCAGTTTTTATAATAGTACTAGTGAACTTAAAGGACTCTTGTTTGGAGTTATTAACATCATCCTCAATCTCGTGCCTTTTTCTCCTTTACACTGTTTTCTTTATGGATGACTCAACTAAATGTTGCTTAGTTTTTATTATATGTTTAGAACTCGGCTTAACAGACTATATGTGCGTGTAGGATATTGAATGAACTCCTTAACTGTTCCATTTTATCTGTGGGATGAGATGCCGGTCTTGACTTATTTTGGCTTTATGCAGGACATCTGAATCTTTCTCACCAATATGCTTGCCGAGATACAATCCCATGGCCTTTCTGTATGCATACGTCCACTATTTTGATGTGAGTTGAACTTGCTCCACCACACTATGTTGATCACATCAACAAGGAATAATAATTTTATCTTCTTGTGGCAGGGGGATACGTACTTGATGTTGCTCACTACCAGTTCGGAAGCCTTTTATCATCTCAAAGATTGCAGGTGAAATTTCTTTCTAGCATCTTATAAAAAATTAGTAGACATGGGCGTTACAAAGTTTCAACTTGTCTACCAAAGGGCTGCACATCTTTATGCCGATTTAATCTAAAGAAGATTATGAGTTTATGGGACTAAGTATTAGCTTGCTATGTAACAAATACTGCTTTTTTCTCTTGCACATTTTTTTGAAAACTTAAACTGAAAATTTATAGGATTCGTGTTGAAACGGTACTTTTGAAGTCAAATGTTCTGAGCGAAGTGCAAAGATCAATGATAGAGGGTGGCATGCGTGTTGAAGATTTGCCAACTGATCCACTGTCTCGTTCTGGATATCCATCTCCTCACCTAGGCCAGCCCAGGCTTCCAACAGATTCTCCTGAACCATTTGTTGGTGTTGGTGGTCCTGCTGGACTTTGGCACTTCATATACCGCAGTATATATCTGGATCAATATGTATCTTCAGAATTTTCACCACCAATTAACAGTCACCAACAGCAAAAAAGGTAAAATGCTTATTCTTGTCACTTTCCATAACCCCTTTGATGGTGAGGATATGCTTGGCCTGTCGGATAAGTAAATTTCCTGCTTTGCAGATTATATAGGGCTTACCAGAAACTGTATACTTCTATGCATGATAAAGGAATTGGGCCCCACAAAACTCAATTTAGAAGGGATGAAAACTATGGTGAAGTATTTTTGTTCAAGTTCTTTGTTTTTTGATTCATCAACTCTGAAAATTCTGATATTTCATTTAGTTGTCTACATGAGTACTCATCCTATACAATCTTAATCACAAATTTTATGTTGTCTTTCCATAGGACAACCTCAATCCATATTCCACATGACACATATGTTCATCTAATGATCTTATCTTCTCAATAATATTTCCCGGATTTTTCACTTGTTTTGGAACCTAAAGTCATCATTTTCTTCATGTGGCAGTTCTACTCTGCTGGGTGACACCAGATTTTGAACTCTATGCAGCATTTGATCCACTAGCTGACAAGGTTAGATCTCTGCAAAAACATATACTAGTTCCCCACCAATTGATCTGTTCACACTAATGCTGTAATAATCGGCAGATACTTTGGATGTGTAATCGGTACATAATGTCGAAGAACTGAGATAATTTAACCATTGATTAATTTGGATTGGCAGGCTTTGGCTATAAAGACGTGCAATCGTGTCTGTCAGTGGGTAAGAGACGTGGAGAATGAGATTTTTTTGCAAGGAGCAAGCCCCTTTTCATGGTGATGTGCCAAATCATTGTACAACAACAGCTTGTATTCTATCTTTTCTCATTATTGAAATCCCACACGACTGCTTTGTGGACTCACATTTTTCTCTCTCACAAATACCAATAGTTTTTTATTTGTTAATTTGTATAACTAACTGTCTAAAGACATGCTCCATCTTGCCTCTCATCATAAGCTTGTCCTAGAGCAATTCTGAATTATTTAGAGATTCAGTATTTGATTGTAATAACCAGAACCCTGAGCCATTGGACAGGCTAAATTTTGCCACCAAATCCCTTGGAAAATTCTTGTCAAATTGGTTTCTCATTTTCCGGTGACAAGTCAAATTGTTTTTCCTTTTTCTTTCTGGCCGCGAAGGGAGAAAATCAAGGCTCAGGCTCACACAGTATAACACCCACCAAAGGGAAGGTATTGGTTGTGTTGAAGTCCTTAGTTGACGAGTCTAATTAGTTTTGGTTAGTACTTGCTAGCTTCTTTAGTGTGCCAAGTCTGATCTCAGGGATGATGAAGCAAAAGCATTCCAAGGGCCACATTACGGTATGTTCCTATTTTTGTACGTTTCGTCTTCTTTTTTAATATTTCCGAAACGTGATGCTGAATCAAAGGCATCAAGCTGGTCTGGTCTGGATATGATTTCTTATTGTTGCACATTGTCGGGATACCACTTAAGGGTAAAAAAGATATATTGCACAAGACCATATATAATAGGGAGGAAAGAGACATTTATCCGATCGTTTTGCTGGCCTTTCGAAGCCATTGCAACCTCTTGGTGTGCCCAGATAGAATATGCGTTATTGTAGTTTATAAATAGGCATGAATTTCATGCATGAAGCATCGAAAAATATTATAATCAGCAAGGTATTTCTCTTTCTCAACTTCGCGGAGTCTTCTTGGTTTTCTCTTTTTCTTCCAGATCTGAATTATGAACGAAGTACCTGACACACATTCTTGATTTTATTTTTTCCCCCAAGAATTTCATATTTAGATCATGTCATGTGATCTTATAGTGGTGAAGACTTACCATCAGTTGCTGATTTGCTACAATTTGAACAAAACCTTTAAAGAGGGGGAAGTACACTTTCAAGATGAAGTATCCAATCGAGTGGGTTGTAGGTAAAACTGTAGCCTCAATTTGAAGTTGAGCTTGAAGTAAGAAACAACTGTGGATGGGTTTGTCGAGTATAAAATCTGAGTATGTGGCTTTATTTATTCGAATTTTATTAACAGTAATTACTAATTATAAGCAACACAAGATTATTAGTCACTGTTGTTTCCATCTATATATATATATATATATATATATACACACACACACACGCACGCACGCACACATAGATACAGGTTGGTGGAGAGACAAGACGTGAAAGGAAGCAATAGCAGTTATGTCTAGGAGGGGAGAAAGCAATAGTTGGTAAATTGAAGATGACTTAAAATTAATACAGTAGTGGGGTGGTGAAATGTTTTTATTTTATTTAATTTATTGCTAAATTTATAAATAAGTAAATATACGGTGAGTTAATATAATCACCAGAAAATATAACTTATTAAAAGTATATATATATATATTAAATGGACAAAATTAAGTAAACAATCTCCTTCAGTTTTTTAATGTGAACGTGATTAGATTCCGTTCTCTTGATCTTACAATAAATAAATTGAGTATAAATAATCTGATATCTACAAGTAGATACAAAGCTCAATTAAGGAACTTATTTTTGGTTAGCCAAACACGACTTTAACAGGGAAAACACACTCGAATTTTCTAAAGCGCTTAAACCCTGTCGGCGCCATTTAATGCATAATTAAATTTCCAAAAAACGTCTTCGTTTTGCATTTCCCCTCTCATTTATTATCCACCGCTTTCGATGTTAATAAATTATTTTTCAGATCGACAAAATTTTATTTTATAATGTTTTTTAATCAAATTTTTAAATTTTACGGACTTGGGATACAATGACGTCAGAAATATGAAAGTCAAACCTTATTTATATATATATTTTTTAAAAAAATAATATTTATTTTATTTTGGTAAATGAAAGCGATTAATTAGTTTTAAAATCAAAAAATTATGATAAATAAAAATTCTCACAACACATTCAATGAAATTTTAATATAAGAGTTTATATTTGTCGAATTTCTTTTGGTAATTCTAAACTCAATTAAACACGTCATTATAAATTATATTCAATTAATTTTAATCACTAAGTGCAAATTAAATTTCAACTCATGATAATTAAATGAATATATAATAAATTAAATTTGTTTTTTTTTTTTGGAAAATATCAGTAAAAAAAATTAAAAAATAAAGAGAGTGTAAATAAAAAAAAAAATCATTTTGAAATGTTGAGTGTATGTTTAACCGTGCGTCCAAATTCATAGTTTAAAATGTGGGAATTTTATTAAACTATTTGCACGTAAATAATTATAAGGTACAACTATATTATATGTATATTTATTTTTTAATAAAATTTTATCTTTAGTAATAGATCAAATATGTATATTTCCGAAAAATATAAGATATTTTTTTGTAAATTGATTAATAAATATCGATAAACAGTAAAATTATACGGCAAAATATCGATTTGTAATTAAAAAAAAAAGTAAGTATTTTCAAAATTTGGGTTTTCTAAAAAGAAAAGAGAGATTTTCTGTTTTTTTTTTTTTTTTCTTAATCCAAAAAATATATATAAAAATGGCGAACGTTATGTTCATACACGACTATTGAGTGGCAGTATCGTAATTTTCGGGCCAGTCAAACTCAAACTTCACCAATTTCGGAGATTAAAAATTAAAAAAAAAAAAAAAAGTGTTTGTTCCCCACTTAGCTTCTCCACCATAATGAAAGTGTTTTGACTGAAATTCCAATAAAGCCCTTGGATAAATCAATGTATCGACCCCGTATGCTTTGTTAAATATAAAAGGGTATTTTTGTAAATGACTTCTCTCGGCCAGATAGAATCCCATGGTCCAGTTTGACTTAGGCAACGTGTATAAAACATCATCATCATCATCGTCACTCATGGAAAGGAGGTGCACCCTAAGGTGTGGTGGAGACCACCACATTTTCGCATTTTGAAGGAAAGTAAACCAATCATGCTTCCTTGCATCCAACACGTGATTAAGTTGTAATGATTTTTGTTGTAAATAAATATTTGATTTAAAAAAAAAAAAATTAACTTCTGTCTATTTAGAGTAATTAATTTTTTACATAAATTATTATCAATTGTTTAGTGGTATATTAGTATTTTTAATATTATATAATTATTAATTACTCATTTCTTTTCAATGTCAATTGGATGCATAATGCTATCTATTTTACATACAAACATATATATATATATATAAACTATTTAACTAAATAACTTTATATTATGATGTTACTATATGGTGATTAGGATTTTATTTCACCAAAAAGTTTAGGTTATAATTACGGACGTTATAATCACACAAAAAATTACTACGGACGTTAAGTAAATTTTATATTTTAAATTAATAAAATATTTTTTTTATATTTATATGACCCAACTTAGGTTATTTATAATAATAAAGGTAAATTTCAACCTATTTATAAAATTAAAAAATATATATATATCAAATTTTATTTATTGAATTTTAATAATTTTAAAATGAATATTATATTTATTGATTCTCATAAAATTAATATTGACCGAAAAAATTAGTTGGTTGGAGATGGATGGCATTAAATTTAAAAGATTTTAATTTATAATAATAAATAATAATAAAAAGTGAGATTGGGCTTCATAATGGGCCTGGAAATTTTCCAAATAGGCCCAAATTTAGCTGAAGTGTTTACATACATGTATAAAAATGTATATGTATATATGTGTATGTATATGTCAATGAAGCTCCCTGTATATTCAATGTGTACTTGCAAGTATTAATTGCACATTTAAGTCTCTTGTTTTGTCATGTTTAAAAAATTATTTCTTGCTATTCAATTTTTATTTTCTTTTTATGAATATGTGTTTTTTATATGTTAATATTTACTCCATCATATCAAGTTTTTTTTTTTTTCTTTAAAAAATTTTACAGGGCTACATATAATTTATTTATTTAACCATGATTTCTTTAATTTTTTATATTAATATA